CCTGGGACACACACTCCTCTGCAAAGCAGAGGGAGACAGAGATCAGCAGCAACCAGCAGGATCGCTACAGCCCTTGCCTTCTTCCGAACGATGTTCCTGGTGTAGCAGCCCTGAGCCTCTACTGAGCCACGTCCATGCTGGGTCAAAACAACCCCCAAGGGAAGCAATAAACTGCTCCTCCAAGTCCCATACCTGCCTGCTCCGCAGGCTGGGAGCTGTGGATCAGTCCTGGCCTGTCCCAATCCCTACGGCCCTGGGCTTCTCCCATCACACACCTACGGTCTGGTCACATACATGGTGTATGTCGTTCACCTGACCGGTGATGTTGGGACATGATGTAATTGTATGTCCCATCAGGCATGAACGCCACCTCCATTGGACAAGAGGTGTGCGTATGTCCTTCAATAGGTGCCCACCATGCTAACGAGACCGGTCAGCACCAGCTGGGACCTTCTGACAAGAAGAACCTGCCAACCCCACTGCATGAAGTCCCTGTACACTCGCTGGGTTTAAGGATGCCCACGCTGCCAGGATCCTGTGCCTCAGTATCGCAGCTCAGCCGTGCAGCAGTCCCCCTCTGGCTGCGTCCCCTCGCCCTGGTGGGAGAAGCCCAGCATGCGGGTGGCCAGTCCCACCACGTGCTCGCTCACTCTGGGCAACTCTCGGAGACAGAGCAGCTTAGCGCACGCTAAGTACAGTGCCGGTACCAGCAGCGGGCAGGGCTGCTCACAGGACTGGGTGAAAAACAAGGTAAAAAGGAGGGTAGGTTTGGAAGTTATGGATCTGAAACAGACAGAGAAGGTGGTAGGTACAGCTGGAGCCCAGAGCATTGCTCTTTCCATTTAAATCACAACACCCATCTCTCTCCTTCCTTGTCCTACTAAGGAGACACCTGACTTGTCTCAAGTATTTCGTCCACAAAAGCCATAAGGAGATTGCTAACAGTATCATTGTCCATGGTGGAACGCTGCTACGAGCACCCAAAGATTGTGAGAGAACAGCAAACCAGAGCACTAGAGATGGGTCTCTCCAGCATCCAGGTCATGTCTGCAGCCCATCCAGGAACCACATGCCCTTGCCCATGCAGGTCTCACGTCTGCTTGCGCACCTGGTTGTCTCGCAGCACCTTCATCCAATCCCTCCAAATCCACAGCTAATGATCAGCACCACTGACTCCGCTCGGTTGTCTTCCTTCCTGCTGCCCATCAGGCCTCAAAGAGGCAAGAGTTCCCTGACTAAAGCTCTCTCCTGTCACGTAGGACAGATCAAACATCAAAGACATCGCCAGCGTTGTGCAAAAAGCTCTCCAGGAATTACGCAGGAGCAGGTTTTGTGCCTTGGAGCCCCATGCCCTGAATCACCACGCAACAGGCTCTCCCAGAAGAGCCAACATCCATAGAAGGACGAGCTCGTGGTTCCACCAAGGCTCATCACCAGACAGGACGAGGCTCCAGATACCTCAGCAGGTCCTGCTTCTGCCTCATGCTAACCCCTGTCAGGACCACCCATCAACTGGCATGGTACAAGAAAGGATGGGATGCAAGGAGGAGGAGGAAGGCAAGGCTAGGAGAAGAGAGAGCTGACCTTGGAGATGACAAGCTCTTTGGACGAGAACAGGGCATGCATATCAGAGGTGCAAAAGTCAGCGAAAACCACCAGAAATGAAGAAAGCCAAGTTCCTCCACCTCAAAACCCAATAATCAGGGACTTTGAGGAGGAAGGGTCGCCCACCAATGAACTGGGAACCGCTCAACACTTCCAGGAATTCGGATTTCAAACACTGTTGGTGCACTGTAGGACAATCTCCCTTGGTACTTACCCGCAGGACCTGCCCAGCCAGGAGATTCTCACTGGCATCCAGCTGCTCGTAATTCACCAAGAGGTTTACAATCCAAGGCTGCAAGACGTAGACTTTAGGAGAAGACATGGCTTTGTTCTCACACACAAACCTACGGGACAAGAGACGAGACACCAAATCAGAAGAACAAGATGCTGCAAAGCTCCGCCATCCCAGGAATGGTTTTACACCCCAAACACAGCCACAACCCCACAGCCTGCCTCAAATCCAGCCCAAACCCGCTCGCTTCTCCAGGAACACCCATCCCAAGGGAGCTGTGCCGAGGAAGACGTGCCGCTGAGGGTACGCAGGTCCTGCACCATCCCGCTCGTGCTGCGGAGTTGGGACATCAGCCAGCTCCGGAGCTGGGTCAGGCCTTTCGCAAGTCTCCCACTCAGTTCAGGACATTTTTTCCCACCTCTTCCCATATTGTTTATTGTTCCCCAATAATTATTTTCCTGGGCCCTTAACCATCACTCTCTTAATTGCAAAGGAGAAAGGAGTGACTCTTTCCTGGATAAAGGGCCGGGACAGGCGGTGGGTTTGGGGACAAGCGGGGGGTTTGGGGATATGTAGGGGACAGGTGGGGGGTTTGGGGACAGGTGGGGGGGGTATGGAGGAGATGGGATGGGGACAGGCAGTGGTTCAGGAA